GGGGGGTGGCTCAGCCTGAGTGCAGACGGAATGGTAATGCGTCTGTATTGCGTACTGCTAACTTAGCACTACCTTTAATATTAAAGTATTTAATGATATATTAGTGTATTTAAAGCACATAATACAGTAGTCCCTCAATTATATTGGTTGTTACATTCCACACATACCTGCAATAAATGAAAAGCTGCAAAGTAGAAACATTATATTTATTTTTGTATTTATATATAAAGGCTTTATAAATCCTTCCCACACTCTTGCAATTTTCTAAACTCTTAAACCTACGTAATTTTAGCAACATGCATATATGTACTGTACAGTAGCTACTGCAGAATTTTATATGAGGAACTCACCAGTCTTGGTCCGGTTCTGTTCCGGTTCTGATCGGCTCTCTGCAACTGTTGAGCACCAGGTGCTTTTGGAGCGAGCCGGACCTTCTGAGAGCCAGCATAAAACCACACAATGGTCCCGATTGAGTCCAAATAATTCAGAGGAATCAGATGAAAAAAGTTCAGGTGAGCTCTGGAGAAGACACCGGACCTCCAAGCAACCCCTCCCCACTCGAGAGGCTCCCTGGTTGGGCAAACAGCACTCAGATTGACCGATGAGGCTGGAAGTAGTTCTGGTCTGGTTCTGATCAGCTCCCTGCAGTCATTGAGTGCCGAAGTCACTATGAATAAGGGCCAAACTTTTTAGTCCGGTTTGGATCGGATCAAAACTTTCCCTCCATTTTGGCAGAAAGCAGCGGCCAGAAGCACTGTTGCCTTCTGGGTAGTGTAGTTCTTTTGGACTGGTGATACTGTGTAGGCTTATTGAAAGAAAACTACAAAAATGGCAGCGCCTGTCCATATTATTATTTTTTCGTTAACTTTTATCTGTAACGTGACTAATATTAAAGTTGACAATCATTGAAAAACCGCAAAAGAGTGAGTCTGCGCAAGTCGAACCGCTAAGTAGCGAGGGACTACTGTACTGTTAGAAAAACTGGTCAAAAATCTAGCGTCACATGAAGACCCATCAGGAGTTGAAAGCCATTAAATATCCTTTTCGTTTGTTTTTCTTAATGTTTGAGATAACAGGTGTCTGTAAATTAAAATAATGAGGAGAATACAGTTTAAAAATCTAAAAAGACAAAAGAATGATTAAAAAAAAATAAAACAACTTTCAGTTTGGATCAGTACTCAACGCCCCAAAGAGAACAAAAAAAATCCTTCAGCCTTGTAAAAAGGTTATAGAAAATGTTGAGTCCTGGTGTCGTCATGACTGTGAGCAGCTAGTTTGTCATTTGATCAGTGTTTGTACCAAAAGATAGTCCCTCTTTCTCCCAACATTAAATGTCAGATGAATAGTTATTGCCTGAAGCTACCAGACCAGGATTTATTTCACTGTTTGTGTCACGGCTTGCCAATAAAAAGTCTCACTTGATTTCAGCAGAGTAAATGGATCCTAATCAGCTAATGGGGTGGCAAGAGGCCGTCCTTGATTTCTAAAGATAACGCTTTGAATAAAACAGATTGTTGTTTTTACTATTTTCTTTATTTAAGCTTCATAATGCATAAAGACTGTCAAAATCTTTTATATAGAAAATGTTTTATTCATTCATTTTAAAAGCAGTGGATGGGTTTTATTGAAACTTTCAGAAAGTAATAATTGGACGTTTGTCTACAACTGTTTAACTTTTGGAGGCAGTTGCATATAAACAAAATGTTTATCTTTTATTCCGAGCATCTTACCGATGACGTTTATTTATTAAGGCTTGCTTTGCGTTACTGTAACGTTGCGATAGTTTGCGCCATCAGAATAACTCAACAGTTTCTGACAGCTGAGAACTTGCACTTTATATCCAGTTAGACTTTATATGGCAACCTGACTCCTGCTCTTATCAAATGCTTGACATTTGAGTGTCCCCCACCCCTCCTCAAGTGAGACGAGTGACGGGGGGACAAAATCCAGGACTGTCCCACCCAAATCACGACAGTAGAAAACACGTTTTTTTCCTCTTTCATTTTCACAAATGTCAGAAATTCATTGCTGCAACAGAAAACTTTTAATTCATGTATATTTCACTTGGTTGTACACCGGACAACCTCAAGATCTGGTTGTCCAAGACAACCGAGATGAAAATAGGTTGTCTCGGACAAACGGAAACCGTTTATGTCAACCTTTGTAAATGTATATTTGTATGTATATGTGTATATTTTACCTGTTTTTTCCACCCTCAGACAAGTTCTCTCCAGTACCTTGAAGCTCGTAACACCCCTCTTCTGGACCACTCGGCTCCGTTTGTAGCACGAGCACTCAGGATCAGTGGCAGCCTGGCGGTTCTCCACCTGGAGAACGCCGGTCTGTCTGGCAGACCGCTCATGTTATTGGGTGAGCTGGATGAGTCCTGGTAGCCTCTTTTGTCTTCTTGTCCTGTTCTTCATTAAGGCTTTTCATCCATTTTTATATTAAGTAGGGGTGCACCGATAAATCGACCCCGATTTCCTTAATTTTGGGCAATTTGAAATTGGCCGATACTTGCATGAGAACCCGATTTTACTGATTTGTTTTAGTTTTAACAACAATTGTATGAACTTCATTTATATTTCAGAGCACTACCTCATGGCCAGTTAAAACAAGTTTGTATTGTTTTTAGGATATTGTTCAAGGGTATGTTTTTCATCAAAATAATATTGGAACATTGAAGGTGTATTGTGACCTTATAGCGCCTGACAGTGTTGCTTATTAAACAAAATCGTTGTCGGCCACAATCTGAATCGACTGGTCAGACTTTTTAGAAATCGTGATCGGCCAGAAAACTGCAGTCGGTGCACCCCTAATATTAAGAATGTTATCCCTCAGTCCGTTCCTAATTTTTCTTGTGTTGGTTGTTGCTGCGCTCAGCTACGGCCCTGAAGATGAACATGAACCTGCGGGAGTTGTACCTGGCTGACAACAAGCTCAACGGTCTTCAGGACTCTGCTCAGCTTGGCAACCTGCTCAAGTTCAACTACAACATTCAGATTCTGGACGTGCGCAACAATCACATCCTCGACTCTGGTACTCAACAAAGTTCAACAGTTACATTGTGGGATGGACATTATTTCTGTTTTATTGGGACGGGATTGTTTGATCACTGCTGGGATATTCTCAGCAAAAATCGAGGACAAATACAGCATTTTTTTTTATTTTTAAAATGAAAAACACTGGTTTACATTTGTTTTCTCAGGTTTGGCCTACTTGTGTGAAGGACTAAAAGAACAGAGGAAAGGCCTAGTCACTTTGGTGCTATGGAACAACCAGCTCACACACAACGGGATGGGCTACCTCGCTGCTGCACTGGTATTTTACACGCGCACGCTTGCACACACACACACACACACACACACACACTGTCAGGATTTTGACAGAAAATGTCCCGCTCTTACACTTGAGCTTTCCAGCCTGTGCGGCACTGAGTGGTTCAACCAGTGATAAGTTTTCTGATAATGTTCTTGGTGGTTGAGTTTTCATTTTATATTTTCTCTGATTTCTCTTAACGAATAACTCGTGCTTGAAGCTGTATCTGTCTAACATGGTCTAACTGGTTAAAGCAAGGCAGGAAACTAGCCAAAAAAACCACGAGGTAATTCAGAACCTACTCATTATGTTGCTGTCAAATTGTGAAAGTGCATGTCTGAAATTAGATTAAGTCATAGTTGTACAAACAAAAATAAACTCAAACTATGGTGATTAAAAACACAAGCCCTTTCATTAAAATTATAGTTTTTACCTAGAAGAGCTACTGATTCATTAACAATTCCAGCAGGAAATAAATGAAAACTGCGCGACTCAAACAGTTAACAGTTGAACAATATGATTTTTATGATCTGGACGTTTTCAGATGAAAATGAGTTTGATCTTTGTGTGTCTCAGCCCTGCACCCAGAGTCTGGAGACTCTAAACCTCGGCCACAATTCAGTCGGAAACGAAGGAGTCTTGAAGCTGAAAGAAGGCCTGATCGCCAACCGCGCTCTGCTCAGGTTGGGGCTGGCGTGCACCAAGCTGACCTGTGAAGGTTGGGGTTATCCTCTGTTTGTGTGAGCATCTGCTGCAGCTTCTGTATTTAAGAGGGGCTTTACTGACCCTTCACTGGCCTTTTTCTTTTCATTTTGTGCTGTAGGAGCTGTCGCCGTGGCTGAATTCATCGCAGAGAGCCCCAGACTGCTGCGTCTGGACCTCCGGGAGAACGAGATCAAAACTGGCGGGCTGATGGCGCTGTCGCTCGCTTTAAAGGTCAACAACTCTCTTCTGCGCCTTGACCTAGACCGAGAGCCCAAGAAGGAAGCTGTAAGTCATCTTTTATTGAGCTTTTAAAATATTCAGTGCTATAAAACAAAATACAGTGCAATAACTCTTCTGTCGTGGTTATTTTTATGAAGGCTTAAGTTGTAATTGAAAATGAATTTTATTGGCGTGTGCACTAAAAGATTTCTGGGTAACTATTAGGGCTGCAACTAACGATTATTTCAATAGTCGATTAATCAGCCTATTATTTTTCCGATTAATTGATAAATCCGGGGGGGGGGGGGGGGGGGGGCAATGTTTTAATTTCCAGCCCTTTATTCCAAAATTGAACATTTGACTGACATAGTAATTTGCACAAAAACAGGTTGCTATTTGACTATTCTGTTAGTAAAATATTGAATTTAAAAAAAGTTAGTCAAATAGCTTAAAAAAATAAATGTACACAAAAATATAAACAAATGTATACTTTACACCTGCACAATATGTAGCTACTTTGTAAAATGTGTCCTTGAGCGAAGAGTGTAACCTGGATTAAAAGTGTGGATTATTGTAACCTGGATTAAAAGTGTGGATCATTGTAGTGAAGCCTTCGTCTCCAACATCGACAGAGGCCTCATGTCAGTGACGATCATGTTCAGGATGTTTCAGTGAAGACAGCTGCTGCTGTGGTGTCCATGATGTCTGTCCATCATGAAGCTGTCATTGTTTGTTGTTTTCTGGAATGAGACAGTTTATACGTATTATAGCATAATTTACAGCAATTTAAGAAATGCCTTGTTTCATTTACAGTGTTAGGTTCAGGCAAAAGTAGCTAAAAGAGCAATTAAACACACACACACACACACACACACACATATAAAATACTTAATTACACACATTTGAGTAGATGTAATAAATTACTTTAATTCCTGTTTAAATGCAATTAATCCTGCCATACCTAAAGTGTCTTCAGACTTTGCCTAGCAAATTAAAAGTTGAAGCTTAGTCATTAAATTATTATCTTTGTGTTAGATTTATTTATAAATCACATTTAAACACTGCTTGTACCAATTAAATTAAATAAAAAGTAACACACGTTCTCTATCACCGTCATTAATCAGCAAACAAACAAACAAACAAACAGACAGCTTCATCTACCAGACAGACTGACATTACGTTTTCTCACTTGGAAACAAAACAATGTGTTATATTGTAGAGACTCACCTGCAACACGAGTTGGGAGTGAAACGAGTTGTATCAGCTGCAGCTCGTGACTCCGACAAGTTTTCGTTTATCAGCGTGGTTCTCCCGTGTCGTGTCGGCGATTTTCAAAGCGGCATGTTTCTCATTTTTTTTATCTTTGTGAAGAGCTCCCACACTTTGGAGGACTTGGGTCGAACAGTTTTCGCTGTGTCTGTAATTTGTAAAATGTACTTATTTTCCTTTGAAAACAGCCTCTGCTCTGCTCAACTCGCGCTGCAGTTTTTTTTTTTTTTTTTTTACTTTATTCAGTCAGTCAGCATTGACAATGAACTGCTCGTGAACAAAACGGCTCCGCAGCGCCGTGAAAGACGCATAATCGCGCGACACAACGAATCGATAATGAAATTCGTTGCCAACGCTTTTAATCATCGATTTTTTATCGATTTTATTGATCCATTGTTGCAGCCCTAGTAACTATTTTCTTGTCAAATCCTTAGAAATTTTAAAAAGTCAATACTAAGCACATTAAAATGAAGTCAGAGAGAAGTAAATTGTGGTCCAAATTTTTAATGTCAGTGACTCATGCAGCTGCAGGGGATGTGTCCTCTTAATTTATTCAATCTGAGCTCGAATTTGGAAACAGACTCACATATTTGACCATATAAACTCTATTTATACCACATTTGTAATTGATGCTTATCCCAACGATTTATTTTCCTTTTAAAACCAGTATTTAAAACGTTTTGTTCCCAGCTGATTGAGGAGCAAAGTCTTTCATCTGAAGAAGTTTCTCTCATTTTAAACAGATGGTTTGATGCGAGGATTAACAGACTGTGTGGAGAAATTAGAAGCTGAAACTAGATAAAGTTTAAAGCCAGATGTTTACATACACTGTATAAATACACTTGTGGATGTTCTTTTTCCATCTCAGTTAGGGACGATCGATATTATAGGCATTATATCAGTATCAGCCAATATTAGCCATAAAGTTAAATATCAGACATCGGCCGTTCCATTAAAAAAAACCTCACTGATATAAAAGGCTTCTGTTTTAAGTTATTTTTAATGTAAGAAACTGTCAAGTATATCTATTAATGCACTACTACTTATGCACTTTTCACTTGTCGCTTGTGAACAGATTGAGTTGAGATTAGTGAAAATTTACCAATTAGCACTGTTCTAGTGTTGTCATTGTGTTAGAGAGAGTAAATTTCATGAATAAATTTGACATTAAACATAATCCAAGTTAAAGTGTTGCATCATTTTCAGTTCCTTTTTGGCATCTGCATTTGGGAACAGGCTAAACTGACAAAGACCATGCAGAATAATGTAGCATTTTAATTCCACAGCAGAGAAAGCTGTGTAATCTCTGTAAGTAGGTCTAGGGAAAAAATATCTGTATCGGCCAAATAAGTTTGAACATATCGGATATCGGCCAAAAATCCAATATTGTGCATCCCTAGTCTCAGTCTCACATTAAAGCAGATCGTTCCTGTTTGAGATCAGTTAGTATTCCTGAAATTATTTCTATTTGCAAAATGTTTCATCAGACCACAGGAGATGTCTCCAGAGTTTGAGGTCTTTATCTCTGTGTGCAAACTATAATCTGCTTTTAATGTTTCTTTAGGATTAATAGTTTCTTCCTTGCCGAGTGTCTTCAGCCCATGTTGGACTCATTTCACTCTTAACATCTTTAGCATCTTCACAAAGTTTGTTGCTTCACACAAAAACAGATTCATGTAGGAACACAGAACCCACAGAATCGTTCCTGAGTGGCACCATGGCAGGACACTGCCATGATGTTTACACGTGTGTAAAACAGTTTGAACAGTTAAACTTGGCACCTTCAGGATGAACAGTGGTTGTGGAGGCCGACAGTTCTCTTCCTGATATCTTCGTTGATTTCTTTTGTTTTTTTCCATGAAGTAACGCAAAGGAGCAAAGTGTTTGAGGTGTGCCTTAAAATACATCCTCAGGTGTGCCTCCAATTAACTCAAATGTTGTCCGGTAAGCTTTCAAAGCCATGACATCACTATCCGGCTTTTCCCAAATTGGTGAAAGGCCTAGAAATGTATGTAGACTTTAAAGAAAGGCATTTAAAATAAATGATCTTTCTCGTATTTTGGGTATTAAGCAAATATAAATAATTTTGGAAACCCTAACCCAGGTAAAGCAGGAAAGGTTTAGTCTGGTTTAATGTCAGATGTGTCTTATATTATGGTGTATGTAAACGGTGAGTTTCAAATGTATGTTTAAAATCATTTATTAGTTGAGAATGAGCAATAAATAGATTTAACCCTGTTACGTAGTTCGAATAGTTTATCTCAAGGTTTTAGTTTTGTTTAGGTATTTGTTTTGTGTCCGCTCAGATTTTTAATAAAAATAGTAACTAGACCAAAAGAAGAAGAGTATTACACATTTTAAATAGTTTGGAGAACGTCTGAGACACTTTTTAATTGTTTCAGGTGAAGAGCTTCATTGAGACGCAGCGCGCCCTGCTGACTGAGATCCAGAACGGCTGCAAGAGAAACTTCATTCTTGCCAAAGAAAAGGAGGAGACCGAGCAGAAGATGAGGCTGTCGACCTCCATGGCTGAAATCGCCACAGAGGACGGGACGAAGGAAGAGGAGGATGAAGAGCTGGCGTCCGGTGAACGGAGGGAAAGAGTTGAAAAAGAAGAAGAGGGAGAGAAGGAGGAGGAGGCAGCAGAAAACAAATCGCAAACGAGCGGCCAGTCCAAAGCGAGCTCCGAGGCGAACGTTTGCCCCGCAGCTCTGGAGTCAGACTCTGACACCGACGATGAGGATGACGAAGAGGTGGTAACTACTTCCACTCCCAAGGCCCCCACTCCTTCAAATCAGACTGCTCCTCAGCCCCCTGCGGTGGCCCCCCTCAGTGCCTCACATGCTCCCTCACCCCCCTCTGCCTCACCTGCTGGAGCACCAAGTATCATATCTGGGATAACAGTCACAGAAGCCACAGTTCCTCCTGGGACCCCTCCCTCTCCAGGGCGCTGCATTTCTGTCTCAAGTCCAGGAAGGAGGCATAAGATTTTTATGGTAACTCGAGTAGAATGCCCCCCCGAGCAGAAGCAGCAGCCCCAGAAAAGTGCTGCTGCAGCTCCCAGCCAGAATAAAGAGTCCACAGAAAGGCCTGTAGACGTAAACACACCGATGACTTTGCAGACGCAGCCCCCACCTCAAACACCTGCACAAACACAGCTCAGCTCACCTGCTCCACCTGCAGTCAATAAAATGCCAGGTGAGAATCCCGTGTCGCGATTAGAATCTGGGACGAACCCTCGCGAAGCAGAGCCACAGTCGTCGAGTGACCCCTCCGAGGAGGCGACCACCAGAACTTTAGATCCAGCTGCTGTGACAGGCCAGAGTCCACAAACACCAGCTTTGCCTTCAAACTCCTCCTCAGTGCAGGCTGGAGCACTGCTGCCAACAGAAGGACTAGAGGAGAACTCTGAAACGCCCCCGCCTGAGCCCCCTTGTCTACAAGGAAAGGAGGAAGGAGAGCAAAGGGAGCTTAGTGTCCCAGATGATGGGCAGCTCATTCCTCCAGAGAGTTCATCAACGTTCACAGCTGAAGCAGAGCGGCTTCACATTGACCAAACTTCAGAGGAGCAGCTTTCACCAAAGCAGACGGAGTCTGTGCTTCCTCAGCAGGAGGTACCAGTCAACGTAATGGGAAATGATAAACCCAGTCCTACCCAGAAAGAGGAGCCAAACCAAGAGGAGGCGAGTCCAAAGCAGCATTCTGAGACAGAGCAGCCTGATCAGCAGGAGCCTGACTCGGCTGATGACAGCTCGGCAGACGAGTGTTTTGCAGACGCTCTGGAGGGCGAAGTTGTCGGTTCAGCTCTGCCCAACGGTCTGAAACCCGAGTTCTCCCTCCGTCTTCTCGACAGCGAAAGCCCAAAGCCCGGCAGCTGTGTGATGGAGCACGGTGAGTGTCGGCGGCTCTGATTCATATCACATCACAGACGTGTATCCGTTAACGCGTGTCGTGTCCTTCATGTAGTGAGCGCCAGCTGTGGACAGGAGCTGGAGGAGCTGCTCCTAGAGGCCAGCATGGACACTGGGAGAGACGCACCGTGAACTGGTAAAGCCAATATCCGTGTTCGCTGATAACGAAACAAGAATTGTGCTTTTCCTTTAACATGGATTTTTGTCATTTATTGCAGAACGTTTTGGTCTGAAATTCAAAATGACTATAAACTACATTTAAATAATTTAGCTGCCTTTTAATATTATCCAACTGGTCGGCAAATCTAAAAAAAATTATAGTCATATATTTTTTTTCCTCTAATAATTTAAAGTAGAAGCAGTGCTGTGCAAAAGTCTTAAGTCTTTTTTATGCGCCCATTGAAAGACAGACGTGTTATGGTATAGTCCAGGGTTATTCATCTAAACTGCTCAGGGGGCCACAGTTACTGAAAGCCAAGAATTCAGGGGCTGAACATGGGCCTGTCGCGATGAACAATAAATCAATTAATCGCATGATGAATGAAAAATTTTGACCTCATTTTCATTTATCGGCTTTATCGTTTCTTCGTGTCTCTCTTTCTACTGAAGACACTGGATGACAAAAGGCTCAACTCCGATGTTCTTCACTGACCCCTCCCTTTCTCTTTTCTCTTCAAAATCTGTTTTAACTATCCAAAATTGTGTTTTTAGATCGTTAAAAGCAGCTAAGCTGAGAAGCTAAGCTACAAGCTAAGCTAACAGGCCAATCTCGAGAAACCTCCGTCTTGTCGAAGCTCCAAAATTCACAGTTGAAACCTGTGCATTCGTGCAAAAAGTTGTTTTTCTCTGTAAAAAGAAGCTGAGAACTTTACTGATTTTTGTATTAAAAACTTTGTGTGAAAAATGCTATGCTAAAGAGCTCAAACCACCGAGCTGTGTCACCATGTCTGTCAAGGGGCCTCCCTGCTCAACTAGCCATCCTTTGGTTCAAACAGTCTTTTACTGCCATGAGGTGGTCAAAAATGGTACTACACACCAAACAAATCAACATTTCTTCTAAAAATTTGACAATTATTGTTAAATTTCAAACTATATTATTGTTTATCACAATAATTTCTGAGACAATTAATCGCCCAGCAAAATTTGTTATTGTGACAGGCCTAGCCGCACATTATTGTCATTAAGTAAGTTTGTTTTATGGTTTAAAATCTAGTTGTATTTAAATATGAACCCATTGGAGAGCTGAACTGAGTTCACCTTTGGGCCTGATTTGGCCCCTGGGCCACCAGTTGAATAGCCCTGTTATAGTCTGTCTGCAAGTCCGTAAACTTTCTATTGTCTCTCCCAAAACTTCTGATCTGCTCAAGATAATTTAACAAAACTTTATACACATGTGCATCATCACTAGACGAGCGTCACCTACACTTTTCATCACCTCAGCGCTAATGTGAAGGTCACAAACCAAGGTCAAATATTGTACAAGGTCTTTGCTTGTTCAGGCTGTTGTCATAGATTGCTGTATAATAGTTTAAACAATGTGTGAACAATGTACCATATGCGGTACTCTTGATTAGGGATGGGGCCGATCCAGTATCGGTATCGGCCTCCGATACCAGCATAATTTACGTATCGGATTTTTCCGATCCACCTGCCGATATTTCCGATCCATGATGCATGTTGGCTTCAAACTATGGAATGGATTTCCTGAACGGCAGCGTGTCTCATGGACCCAGAGTAATAAGACCCGCCTCACATTCAGGAAATCCAGTTCATAGTTTGCAGCCAGCTACAACATGAGGACTGAGTTAGCAGCACTGTGGCTAACAGCTAACTAACTTTTCATCTAAACATGTCCGCTGTGTGGAAGTATTTTACACTAAACACCACAAAGCAAGACAGCATCGTGCAATGTCTGCAGAGCCGTAGCGCCACATTAAACCGCGGTAAAGTTAGTTTTACGTTGGACGTTCGAGCTCCGTGGCTTCAGTGGGGCACTGCTTTTTGCTCAACCGGAAAGAGGCGACTTGACCCCGGCCAGCTGCGTCCTATCTGCCCCGCTCAGTCTGCCCGTCTCTGAGGAGGGACAGACTGAGCGCGGCTGCCCCAAATCAGGCTGCCTGCTTCGGATTGAACAAGAAGAAGACATCGCTGAAGCCACGAAGCTCAAATGTTTACAGAGAAGCTGCTAAACTTCATCATGATTCATGACCAACCACTATCAGTTGTAGAAAACGAAGGATTTCACAGCTTGATACTTGCAGTCAAGATATAGTTTACCCTCCAGGAGATATTTATCAGTACAACAGTAGACAATCATAAAAAACATGATTTGAAAATTATATTAAAAAAAAACATTATAAAGTGATGTAAAATACTATAAATGGAAACATGTCTGTTGGTTTATGCCATGAATTTAGCAGGTGTTTGAAGCCATTTAACATTTAATTTAATTTAATTAATTCATTTAAAAGAAACAAATTTTTTTTTTAAAAACATCAAAAAGAAAATATTGAATGAAAAGAATGCAGAAAGAAGAAAAAAATTCTAATCTGCTCCTTATTTAAAAAAAATATAAAATAACTAAACAATCACTTAAATTAATCACTTTAATATCCACTTTAAAGCTAGGAATAAAAAGAAACATGTTTTGTGTTAGGAGAATTAAATTCTAACTTTAAAACTTATCCAACATTAATAAAACTTACCTCAAGTTGCCTTTTTGGACATGCATGCATATTTTTGTACAAATTGAACTTGAGAGGAGATTATTACAGCCTTATATAAAAATCAATGATGATCATGATATCGGAACTGGATCGGTATCGGCCGATATTCAGATTTAGGTATCGGGGTCGGATCGGAAGTTTAAAAACATGGATCTGTGCATCCCTACTCTTGATGACACTCTTACTAGCCAGACAATTTGTAATATTTTAACGTTTTCGTGCGGAGTTTCCAGCGACTGGAAATCAGAGAAAACCTGGAAAATGGCTTTCACATTTTCTTGGTAGGGAAAACTCTGGGAATTTGAACACCAATCTGCTGATTAAAAGATGACCTTTGAGATTTTGCCCTGTACATGTATCACTGCTAGTGTTCTGGTATCACTGAGTCCACGTTCTGCTTCTACAGTGTACATAGTACACACACATACATGCATGCATAGTACTGATTGGCTATGGTGGCATTTTAGCATCTGATGTTAAGCGATACATTTAATTATTAGGAATGATTGCCGTGTCAATTACTACTCTTAATTCTGGGCTTTTTGTGTGATTGAACGATCTCCTAGAAGGAAAACTCAGGGAATTTTTTCATTAAATTCTGGGAACTGTGTCTTGAACTATGACACTTCTGCAGATTTTCTAAAGGTCTTTTTCTGAGTTTTTCTTTGCTTTCTCACTTGGGTTTTCATCAGTGTTTTCAGACTAAATGTTTTCTGTTTGTTTCCTAACTTGCGTAACTCTGACGCATGAGTCGTTCACGCAGAAAATGGCTCTCAAACTCAAAGGACAATTCAAGTATTTTGACTCATAACAGACAACGCTGGAAAGAATTCATTTTCTTTACTTGAATCAGTGGAAAATAATAAAAAAATAACACTGTTTGGTAGTAAACCAATATTTTAGCATCAACAAGATGTTTTCCAGAGTGCCGTTAGCTGAAAACACAGTCGATGATCAACTCAAGGATCTTTCAGCTCCTGTCAGGTCTTCTCTGGATGTTTTGCCTTTTTCTTAAAGCCATGACTTTGGTATGGTATGGTATGGTATGGTATGGTATGGTATGACTTTGAGGTACCGTTTGTCTGCTGAGGATAGTTTTAAAAGCTGGCTCTTCTCCTTTTGTCTGAACTTTAAAACCAGCTGCACAAGATGTTGTCATGGTCAGGTCATAAGAACTGAAAATAAAAAGCAGCTAAAGTTCAAAGAATGTCTAAAGAGATCTAAACCTTTTTTATTACTTACGACATTAATCCCTCATTTATCACGGGGGTTCCATTCTCAGCTCCTCTGCGATAAGTGAAGAACCACGAAGTAGGAATAGTAGTACAAGTAGTAGTTTATTTATATATATATATATATATATATATATATATATATATA